ATAATGAAATCATACGTTTGTGTAGGTTTGCCTGAACACAAGTTTTTAGCAGGCATGGAAAACACTGCAAATGAAGGCACAAAGAAGCTTAGTTGCAACAGAATGACTGGAGTTTGTTACCATGTAGTTTTCTTTTCTCAGTTTGCAAATGATCATTGTATCATCTGACCTTGAAACTGGTGTTGCCATTCATGTTGCATAATATGTATGGTTAAGGGAAACTTCACTGCAGGCTATGCAATGGCATTGCATAGATGGCATGAAATAAACACGAGAGTGGGAAATTAACATGGTACTGCATATGCACATTCTGTCTCCAGACATCTTGCTACACAAATTGCATCTTATATCTGGTCCAGCATATGTATATTACAAATGAGTGGATCCCTGATGGAGTAGTACCATGTTATCTGTTCTGTATATGTTCACTGGTAAGTCAAGACTTTGTGGTAATTAGCAGGATTTGGGCTGCTGTTGCTGTTCAGTTGCTATTGTTTTTACACTGATTAAAAAGATGAAGGATTCATTGGTTTGTGGCATATTTTTTTATATGGATCAGTCTACTTGTCTGTGCACTCTTTCAAATTTATTATGACTCCAATATTTTGTTCAGAACAATATGCAGATTTTAATTTTTAAAAACACTGATAACTCCAAAAGTCTTTCTAACCAGGGTATCCAAAAATATTGGGGAAAGAATGAAATGTATGTAGCTGGTGTGGAACAACAAGCTAATGCCCAACTGTTCCCTGCGCATTGTTTTACAGAAATAAGTAACACATTGTTAGAAGACAAAAACGATTCTATTTGTTATTTTTCATTTATGAAGTTACATGGGGTATCCATTATTTTAGTACTGTTATTACTACTAGTTTATAAAGCCATATTTAAACTTGTGCACTTGAGTGTAACATACCTTTAAACTGTGCACTATGTTGATCAATGTGTGTGTGTAAATATATACATGTGGAAATCTGTATATTTGGTCTCAATGCTATATGTGGTTGATGTTTAAATGTAAATGATAATGAACAGATATCAAATATAATGTGAGTCCATCTTTGTTCTTCTTGCCTTAGATATTAAGAAATACCAGTGCTTGCTACCACCATATTTCTTACCTGTGTGTTACAGGAAATAGATCAGGCTTCCTCAACCTTGGACCTCCAGATGTTTTTTGGCCTAGAAGTCCCATGATCCCTAGCTAGCAGGACCAGTGGTCAGGGATGATGGGAATTGTAGTCTCAAAACATCTGGAGGGCTGAGGTTGAGGAAGTCTGATATAGATCATAGGTGGTGGAACCTCAGGTCTGGGGGCTGAATGTAGACACCCCCCAAAATCATGCCTCACCTCAGGTCACACACATTCACCTCAAGTCACATCCTTCACCATTTGTTCTGTAGGCCTTCCTCAGATGTCTTCTTCTTCTTCTTCTTCTTCTTCTTCTTCTTCTTCTTCTTCTTCTTCTTCCTCCCCACCCATCTGGCTGTGTTTTCCCAGCCACTCTGGGTGGCTTACGGCATATAAAAACACATAGTAAAACATCAAACATTAAAAACCTACTGATACAGGGCTGCCTTCAGATGTCTTCTAAAAGTTGTGTAGTTCTTTATCTCCTTGACAACTGCAGGGAGGGTCTTCCACAGGGAGGACATCACTACAGAGAAGTCCCTCTGTCTGGTTCCCTGTAGCTTCGCATCTCACAATGAGGGAACCAGCAGAAGACCATTGGAGGAGGACCTTGGTGTCCATGCTGAGCAATAACATAATTGTGTAGAATCCTCTGACTTTGTTATGGCTGAAATGTTGACTATTCCAGAAAGGTAAGTGTTGTTTCTATTGCTCTGCCCACTTTCTCCTCAGGTCCTGCCCATCACCAATAGGTTCCTTGCTATAATATAAAACAAATTTCTGGTTCCTGCTGCTGTTGGTTGCAGAAAGAGAGAGCAGTGCAATAAAAAAAAAGCGTTTATTTTTCATGATCTGAGTTCTAGAATCCGTTTATACACTTGAAATTGCATTGGTTTCTTGGTGCCCTTTCTGTTTTGTAGGCATCTCCTATAGCAGCTGCTTTCGGCCATTACTGGGGGACAGAATACCTGGCTAGATATAGTGTTGGATGGGCCAGTAAAATGTTTCTCACATATTCCTTCGCACTGCAAGATTGCTTGCTCTTACAGTTAAAGTATTTATAAACAAATCACAGGAGAATTACCAGTTGAATACCCATTTCAACCTGAACTCCCTTTGTATGTCCCCACCTCCCAATATTGTGCAAACTTTTCTGGCATACATTTTTGGGCAATCCATTCTAATTTGGGCTCACATCTGGGTTTGGGATTGAATCTGCCTTGATTGCTCTGGTGGTGGATGACCTCAGCTGGGAGAGGGACAGGGGACTCTGTTGCCCTTAGTAGATCTCTTATTAACTTTTGATATCAGCCATGGTATCCTTCTAGACTGACTGAGATGCCCTACAGAAGCTCTCAGAAGGTAGTATTGGGTGAGTGCTTCTCACCCCCCGGGCTGTTGTGCTATGAAGTACAACAGGGCACTATAATATCTCCAATGCTATTTAACATAAAATATACAGTGGTACCTTGGGTTAAGTACTTAATTCGTTCTGCAGGTCTGTTCTTAATCTGAAACTGTTCTTAACCTGAAGCACCACTTTAGCTAATGGGGCCTCCCACTGCTGCTGCACCGCCGCTGCACGATTTCTGTTCTCATCCTGAAGCAAAGTTCTTAACCCCTACGTACTATTTCTGGGTTAGCAGAGTCTGTAACCTGAGGTGTCTGTAACCCGAGGTACCACTGTATAGGCAAGCTAGAGGACCTTTCTTGAACGAAGAAGTAGGAGCACCTGGGACTTTTAACAGTTTCTCACACGCAAACCCCAGTGCTTAGTTGGGCACTACAGATAATCTTTATATTGCTAATGACCATGCTGCTTTAATGAGGATGTTTAACTAGAAGCTAGTTTAGTTTCTGTGAGCCTAATCAGCAGGATCCAATTAAGTACCTGTAGTTCCATAACCTGTCACCATCTTGCAATTCATTATAGAAGAATAATAGGATTGATCTACATCAAACTAAAAAGTGGCAGGTTCACACCCGTATCCCTGTAAGTCCTGCTCTCCCTAGGATTGTTTTTGATTCTCACAAAAGTGCTATTTTGGGGTGCTACCATTAAACATGGTTTACTGTGGGTTATGACCCTTCTATGTGATTGTCCCATTACTCCTGACTGTGTGGAAAGGGTTTCAAATCCTCTCAATCTTCTGCATGGCCTTGCAACATTAAGGGCCATAATGACAAAAAAAGATAGGCTACATAATACCCTGAAACAATTTTATGTAACCAGCTCAGTTCCCTCAATATGAAGGGACATTTCAAGTCTCCCCTGTTCTTCCAGATACAGTGAAACCTCGGTTCCCGAACATCTTCGTTCTCGTACGTTTCGGTTCCTGAACGCCAAAAACCCGGAAGTTAATGCTTCCATTTTCGAACTTTTTTTGGAACCCAAATGTGCAACGCGGCTTCCGTTGAGTGCAAGAAGCTCTTGCAACCAATGGGAACGTTTTTGAATGTTTTGGAAGCCGAACAGGCTTCCGGAATGGGTTTAGTTCAGGAACCGAGGTTTCACTGTATCCCTAAAAGCCTCAGGGCCCCAATAATGGAAAATATTGCTTATATACATACATCATTTTATTTGTATGCTGCCTTTCCATAATTAAAACCATGCTCAAGGTGGCTTAGGTAAAGGTAAAGGGACCCCTGACCATTAGGTCCAGTCGTGACCGACTCTGGGGTTGCAGCGCTCATCTCGCTTTACTGGCCAAGGGAGCCAGCGTGCAGCTTCTGGGTCATGTGGCCAGCATGACTAAGCCACTTCTGGAGAACCAGAGCAGCGCACGGAAACGCCGTTTACCTTCACGCCGGAGCAGTACCTATTTATCTACTTGCACATTGTGCTTTCGAACTGCTAGGTTGGCAGGAGCAGGGACCGAGCAACGGGAGCTCACCCCATCGTGGGGATTTAAACCGCCGACCTTCTGATTGGCAAGTCCTAGGCTCTGTGGTTTAACCCACAGCGCCACCCGTGTCCCTTAAGGTGGCTTACAACATAGCAAATTTACATCATTACAAACATAACAAACGTAGTCACAAATAATAAATAAAAGATCAAAAAGTACCCAACCAAATTAAATAATTTCCACATAAATCATAATAAGATCTAAGATAAAGAGAGTTTGATGGATGGTAGCCCTACTATTCTTTTCATTCATTCATTCATTCATTCATTTATCACATTACATTTATATTATGTTCCTCTTCATATAACTGAATTCTCTAGGCAGTTCACAGACCATTAATCAATTGTAGCCCTCAGTGATCTATGCCTCAGAACATTTAGGGATATATTTTTTTTAAAAAACGAAGAAAGGTTTCTTCCACTGCTGGTTTCTATACTTAATGCAGAGCAAGCCAGAAATGTAGGTGTCTTTTACAGCAAGCCGAGATGTGGGGTGGAATACCCTGGCTCCTTAATGGCATTTGTGTCTCTTTCATCAACCTGTTTCCCATCTGACATGTGAACTAGGACATGGATCTGGATTGCAGGTAGTGCAAATATTGAATGAGGACATAAAGACCTTACTCGGAGTGGGAAAATAGCCAGTTTCAGTGTCCAAAGACTTAGACCCCATTGAGTTTAGAAGTACACCAGTGTCCTCAAGTAGCTTGAAAGCACTGCAATGGCCCTGAAGTCTCCATTACTTTAAGCTTAAAATTGCACGATCACATACAGAGTTTAGAAAATCTGTAGCTGTAAAGCAACCACATAGTTATAGCTGTTGCAGAGCTTAAAAGTGGATAATGATGAAGACTGCTGCACTGGGGGTGATAAACTGTCAAGCAGGCAGTCTTTAAGCTGAAGTTGTTATATAGTGGCTTTGTGTTCTTCATGGCACAAGTTTGACCTAAATATGCAGAAAGGAATCCATCGTTTGTGGTATTACTCTGTAGTAGGATAGTATTCTGTAGGAACTTTAGATCTATTTTTTAAAACTATTAAAATTATTCTACAGTAGGGGTGGGCAAATTTGCCACTAAGTTTCCCATTTTTTCAATCTGAAATTCAGTTCTCAAATTGCTGTGAAAATGTGGAGGGTGTCATGAAAATTCATTAGCATTTTGTGCAAATTTCTCCTAATAAGCACCTCTTTGTATGTAGTTTTGACTAATACACTTTTTTTTTTGCAAGAATTTCCCCCTGACTGAATGCATTTTCCTATGTTGTATGTGCATTTTGTGAACCTATCCCCTTAAATACATGAAGTTTTGTATGTATTTTTTGGTTGGTGAACTGCTATCGCCCACTTGTGGATCGTGAGCCACCAGTTGTAGGCCAGTGGCCCAGATGATCAAAAGATGTGCATCTCAGCATAAAGCAAACTTTGAATGTTGCTTTAGACGTGGGATGAAGAACCTTTGTCCTTCCAGATGTTGTTGAATTCCAGCTTCCATCAGCAGCAGCCGGCATGGTTGATGGTCAGGGATAATAGGATCTGTAGTCCTAGAACATTTAGAGGGCCACAGGTTACCCAGCCTTGCTTTAGGCAAAAGAGTGGAAGTTATAAATGCTTTGAGATTTTATTTTTACCATTTAGATTTTTTTCCTTTTTTACTGACACCTTATGCCATGTTTTCCCAAAATGGCGTTCAATGATTTAGGGATAACCACCACACTGTACTGTCCACTGCTCTTTCCATGTGGACTGGCTCAAGAATTCTAGGATAAAAAAAACACCCCCCAAAAAACCTCATATAGTACAGCTGTTAATTCATAGCATTACCTGGATGCAGAATTTCATTGCCAGAAACTGCTCGATGCTACTCTGACAAAAACCACAGGAGGGCAGTAGAAGATTTGGTTTAGCTGAATGCCATTCCAGTGGTCCCTATCTGTGTATTTTAATCAGTTGGCATCCCTCCCACTGAACTCTTATCATGTCAGGAAGTAAAAATTTGACACTGATGCAGAAAGGGGATTTGATTTTCAGTTCTGTGTGGTACTTCATGCATTTTCTTCATACTTTTGTTGGCTTAGCTTATCACTAGTGCGTGGCAAATGAACATTACCAGTTCCATCCTTCGTACTATTCACCGGCTAAAGCAGAAAGCTGGGCATAGAAACAATTGCTACAGGGTGTCCAAGGTCAAGGCTTGATCTTCTCAGGAATACAAATGGCTATAAAGCATTTTACGCTAATCAGAGACTATCTTATATTTATTTATTTTTTCCTTCTAGTGGCCTGTTACACTCATTTCTTTTGAAGATGATTTACTCAGGGGCAGCTGAAGCTCAATGCAACCCCAAATTCCCCAATAGTATCATAGGGGATGGGCCTCGCTGTTAGCAGTGCAAGAGCAGTACAGCTTCTCCTCCCATCCTCCAAAGCTGTAGAAGTGACAGTAGCAGTAACTGTGTTGGCAGCCTCCCTCCTCCCTTTTAGCATCCTTCCATGATAAACTAGGCCTAGCACCACCCTGGGACACTGTGGGGGAGAGAATGGTAGCTGCTTCAAAATCAAATTTAGATAACATTCTGCAAAACTGCCATTACCTGTAGTGACCTCTTGTCAGCCATCACAATATAGTTTTACCCTGACTTGGGAATGTACAGCTTGTGACCCAACAAGCTGATCACAGCCCACCTGTCATGTGCCGTTGCTTCACCAGCTCATCAATCCTGCCAAAAAAGGGAGGCTTCTCAAACCACAAGCAGGCCACCATAACTAGCTGGTGGACTGAATTTGGCATAGCCATGAACAAGGGAAAGGGTTCTAGCTCATAACTCTCGTAATTTGCATGACCTCACCCTGGGATCCTGGAGAGTAACTGCTCGTGTCAGTAAACAGTACTGGGCCAGATGGACCAAGGAGCGATCTCAAGGCTAGTGATGCTTGAGGAATTCAGTTTCTGTGAAAGCCAGTGCAAACTTTCCTGATCTGCACCTTTTGGATTGTAAGGCTTGGAACATAATTGTCCTTCAGAATTGCAGCTCTCTGAATTTTGCAGTATAGTTTTCAGCTGTGTGTACAGTGGTACCTTGATTTGCAACCGTTCTGGATTACAAATGTTTTGGATTACAACCACATCAAACCCTGAACTGTGTGTCCCTTTTTTTGGATTACAACCCATTTTTTTTGGATTACAATCTTATTTTTTTTTGGAGGCCCCATTGGTGAAAGCGTGCCTTGAGTTACAACCTATTTTGGTTTACAACTGAATCTCCAGAATGGATTATGGTTGTAAACCAAGGTGTTGACCTTTAAAGCCCTAAACGGCCTCGGCCCAGTATACCTGAAGGAGCGTCTCCACCCCCATCGTTCTGCCCGGACGCTGAGGTCCAGCGCCGAGGGCCTTCTGGTGGTTCCCTCATTGCGAGAAGCAAAGCTACAGGGAACCAGGCAGAGGGCCTTCTCGGTAGTGGCGCCCGCCCTGTGGAACGCCCCTCCCATCAGATGTCAAAGCAATAAATAACTACCTGACATTTAGAGGGCATCTTAAGGCAGCCCTGTTCAGGGAAGCTTTTAATCTGTGATATTTTACTGTATTTTTTGTTTCTATGGAAGCCGCCCAGAGTGGCTGGGGAAACCCAGCCAGATGGGCGGGGTACAAATAATAAATTATTATTATTATTATTATTATTATCACTGTATATATATATATAGAGAGAGAGAGAGAGAGAAATGCATTCATTGTGATAAAATATGTATTTAAATATGTGTTTTGTGGTAAAATACACACTTAACTTTGAACTTTAATGCAGATTTTAAAAAATGCAGACTAATCAGAACTAGGATGGAATGGAATGGATCCATGCCAAATGGAGCAGATGTAGACAGACACATCCATTCCTACTAAGTGGGAGGCACTACTATATACTCAGGTTGTGCAGGGCTTCTCTTCTTTACAACTGAGCAGGGCTGGCCCAAGATATTTGCTGTCTGAGGGGAAGGACAAAATGGTGCCCCTGCATCCCATATACAGGGCTGGCATTTGAACTTTGTTTCAGTTCTGACAATGGGGTAGCATCCTCCACTCATATCTGAGGGGGTTCAGGGCAGGCTTGGTGGCAGACACAGCTGTGTCACCCAAGAGAGATGCATGGTTGTTGGGCTCAGGAGGGGAGCTTCACCTGCTGTCTGAGGCAGTTGCTGAGCTGTGGCAAATGATAGGACTGGCCCTTCATATACATTTCAAGAAGCCTTCATGAAACAACACCCTGCTACATGAACCCCAAAGCAAACGTGATTTAAAATAAGTTTAAATGTGTGTGTTGTTTGGAAGATGTAAAAAAAAAAAGTGGATGTAAAAAAAAGGGGAAAGTCTGGCTGATAGTATCGTGAGCAAAGGCCACAGTGGCCAGTTATGGCTTCTGCCTCGGTTCCTAATATTATGCGTGAACTTACAATTCCCAAAGAGATCCTGTTGAGCTCAACAGGATTTACAATAGTCTATGTGGATTCAGGATTGCTGGCGATAAGAAGGATGTCTGCAATTAAGGTCAGACTTTTGAAAAGATACGAGCAAGTGAAGAATATTAATACTACCCATAATCTCTGCTGGCTCCATGCCTGGCCATTAACTTTGTTTATTTTCCAACACCATTGCCTTGTGCTGATGCTTGAAGCAAACATCAGTGACAAATGATCCTCTTAAGCAAGTGCAAGTGGCTGGAGGCAGCGCTGGGGGCTAGGAACACAAAGTGGACTCGCACCAAAATGCCTTTTCCTCCTGCCCTCTGTGCCACTGGTATCGCTAGAAGGCTCATCCATTTCAGCTAGCAACAGCAACACTAGAAAGACCTGGCCCACAGAGGGCAAGGAGCCTCTGCCTCGGCATCAAGCAATAACAGCTGACAGAAGGCAAATGCATTTAACATATGATCATGAGCTAAAATCTGCCAACCACCTTTGCTTCCTTTAGGGAGCTCCACATGCCTATCACCCAAATTATTTTTCCTAAAAGCAGTGGGGCAAATGTTCCAAACAAAGCTTTTTGTCGTTGCTTCCAGATTTAATGACCATTCATTCTTATTTGTTTGTGCAGTTTGTGGGCAGGCTATACATTATTGGCTGGCAATCGAGCATATGTTTTGATTTCTTTGTGGGAAGATTATGCTATGTCATGAAAAGCAGTTGCTATCCCATACTTGCAGGAAAGTTTTCCCAGTACATTTTGGGGGAAGGGCTGTAGCTCAGTGATAGAGTATCAGTTTTCCCAAGCTCAAACTATGGTGTTTCCAGGTAGGGCTGGGAGGCAGACAATGCCTGAACACCTGAAGAACCTTTGCCAGTCAGTGTGAACAATTACTGTCATAGATAGACTAATGGTCTGACTCAGTATAAGGCAACTTCCTATGTGCCCCTCACTTTCCTTACTGCAAACAGTCCATTTTGTGTGTGGAAGTGCAGCCTTAATTTGCTAGTATGACACTGAATCTCACTGGATTTTTTTTTTAAGTGCCCTGAGACTCATACTGGGAGGGCATATGGCAATTATTGTTAGACAGTTGCTAAGGGGCAACCAGGAATAGGGCTTTATTTGTGGTGGCACCTATCTTATCAAACATTCTCTCCTCTGAGCTCTAGCAAGCATCTCCTTTGATGTGCTTCTTCTGACAACTGAAGACAACCTTGTTTGCCCATGCATCAGCAGACCCTCAATCACCAGCTCACTCACTTTTTGAGATTTGTGCGCTGTCTATTGTACGATGTATTTATTGCTTATGAAGTTTTATGAAGTTGTGCACCAATCACTGCCAGAAAAATACAACCAGAGAACATATTCACCCTGTTCTCCCCCATGCAGCAGTTCACTTCTCAATTACTTCCAGAAAATCAGGAGGACTGGAAGGTAGGGTGTTTTCTGCTGGGCAGGGCTCTGAAAAATGTGGCTTTCCTGGCTGCAGTCGCCTGAGAGAAACGAGATTCTGGTAGGCTTCTGTTTAGAACTCTTAATAAAAGCAATTCTATTTGAGGTGATCATCTCTCTGCAGCATTCTTTGTACAGGATTGTGTTTGCAAAGGGGGATTGCCACATTAAATTCACATTTAGCGTTGCACACCCTTTTCTTGTTTATTCTTCCCTGTTCTGAGCTAGAACATGACTGTTTGCAATTCATATGGGAATAAAGTGAAGGATTTCAACATATGTATGATGCAAGCCACCCTTCTCCCACAAATATGGCATTAAAAGGTCATGGTAAATAATAAGAAAATTACCTAGCATTTGCATGTAGTGTTCCAAGCACCTGCTTACATTATTTATTTGTAAGGATTACAACATCACTGTGCTATTATCCTCTGTATTGCAGATTGTGTGGTAGGGAGTGGACAAAGTCAGAGGGAGGATGGTTTGACTAAGGCTGTTAAGCGAGTTTGTGCCACAGGTGAGCAGAGCTAGTTCTTATTACCACAACTCATACACCAGCAAACAACGAGACATTACAGATTCCAAGGTGTTTACAGAACAGATGTTGCAAAGCCAGCCACTGGTTAAATCAACTTCAACTCAGTGCTTATTTGCATTTATCTTGAAAGCTACCAGGGGAAGCAGGATTTTGGAGAATTGATTTGCTATACCGAAGCCACATGAATTGACTTCCGTTTTCTAGAGATGATGCTTATGCCATAAGAAATTGGTTTGCCTTTAGGGTGCCGCAAAACTCTGTGGTTGTTTTCATCACTGCAAGACTATCGCAGCTACTCCCACATTGGGAATTTTGAAACTTCTTTTCCCTTTATCTAAGAAATGTTCATAGAAATAGTCTAAAAATGAAAGCATCAGAGAAATCTCGCCATCGGTGGATTCAAAGTCAGGGGACACGGATGATGTTAAATTACTTGGAAATGGTCGTGTTGAGCTCGTGAAGAGCTGAGCATTTGGCACCCTGTCCTAAGCGGGGTTTGTTTTTTGTTTTTTGTTTGCAGCACAGTGTGATCTGTGTCCTTCCTCCTCTCCATGATAGGCAGACACCACTCAGCTTCACGGTTCCTGTTGAGAGATACAGCCAAGCGTCTGCCCTGGGAGCCGAAGCCAATTGGAATCCTGGCAGGGTGTCAGGAAGGCCCAAGGGATAGAACACAGCGCCTTCCATCTCTCTCTGTGTCTATCCCTTTAGTGTTCCAGCAAAGGGGAAGTGAGAAGGTGAGAGGGTGTTTGAATCAGGTGTTTCGTGTGTGTGTCTCTGTCTGTGTGCAAATAGATTTTTCTTCTCTTCTCTTCTCTTCTTAGGAACGGAAGATAGATGTTGAATTATACTCTTAGGCTCCGAAAAGATTAATCATTTTGTTACTGAAAGGTCAACACTCAGCAATTGAGCCCAGAATGAGCCTGCCTCCTCAAAGCAACAATAAAAGATAGCAAAGCGGTGGGTGGCGTGAACTTGGGTGGCACCCCCCACCCCCAAAAAGTAGATGGGATGCTGCCAGGTCCCCTGAGTCATTTGTTAAAGTTTTATTCGGTGGAATGAATTAGGGTGTCTGTTTTCTCTTTAATACAAAAATGGCCTTCAGGGAAGAATGGGCTTTAAATTCCTAACATCTGAAATACTAATAGCAAACTCATTTCCTGAAGGCAAGTCCTTATATTGACCAACTGGCCCCATTAATGCACAGCAGGATGGTACTGACAGATTTGGAGTTATCCTGTAGTTTGCAAAACAAAAAAATCCTTATGTAAAAAACACTTAAGGGGTGTGTGTGTGTGTGTGTGTGTGTGTGTGTGTGTGTAAAAGCAGCCCAATGAAGACAGCATGCTCAGTGGTCATGGAATTTTAGTTGACTGTTGTAGGGGAGAAACAACTAGAAAAACAGGGGAGTGGAAGAGACAATAGCTGGCTGGCAGCAACCCTGAAGAGGAGTATTCCACAGGCAACATTTTCAGGCACTTCTCACTAGTTCCCTATATTTCCAATGATCATGGGTGAGTGTGGATACTTATGCAACACAAATGGAATTATGGTGCGCAGGGTGAAAATATTGGAAGGGCTGGGTGAATCCAAAGGTTTCAGAAATACAAAAAATTAGGAAAAAAGAGGGGGCTCCCAAAAGAATTCAATGAAGACTGAACACCTATGAAGACTGAATGCTGACTGATGGTTGGAAAGGTAGCCAGAAAACTATGGGTGGAATGAAATGTAGTATCTTGGAAGAAAGCATGGCTGGGTAGCTGGCTGGCTTGAACCTTGAATAGGAGCACTTCACACTGCAACACTTTGTTACTGTTCTTGTTCTGTGTATCAATAGCCATTAGATAAATTATTTCTTGGAAAAGCAGTGTTATGCTTGTTTGCCCAGGTACACAATTTCCCCAGATGTCTGTCTAAGTAAGTTAAGAATTTCTTATCTGGATGAAAACAAAGAACTCCATTATATAGGAAACCTAGGATATGTTTGATTAAAAATTGTCTATTGGGTGCCAAAAGCTAAGAACCTTTAGTTTTAACTTTGGGGTTTCTTTCAAGGGAAAAGGGAGAAGTCTTGCTGGTTGATAATACTTTCCCATAAAGGCAGACCTGACTCCACCTATGAGGTTTTCATTCTGGGACTGGACCAGGAAAACGTAAATGTTCAGGCAAATAACTGAAGCTCCAAACGAAACCTGCCCAGTTATTTCTGCCTGCATCATGCAACCACATTCTCCACTAACAGTTTCATGTAGATTCATTATAGAGATTCAGTTATGTAGAAATGATTATTGACTGTTTATCCTGTTCCAGTCTGGGGCCTAGTGGGAGGTCAAAGCTCAGCAGAAGTCTAGAACTAGTTTGCAGGAGATCAGGACCATGGTCAGCTCACTGTGGAACCAAGTATACAGTGGTGCCTCGCAAGACGAAATTAATCCGTTCCGCGAGTGTCTTCGTCTAGCGGTTTTTTCGTCTTGCGAAGCAACCCTATTAGCGGCTTAACGGATTAGCGCTATTAGCGGTTTAGCGGCTATTAAAGGCTTAAAGGCTTAGCGGATTAGCTGCTAAAAGGCTATTAAAGGCTATTAAAGGCTTAGCGGATTAGATAAAGGGGGAAGCGAAAAAAAAATCTCAAGACTCGCAAGACATTTTCGTCTTGCGAAGCAAGCCCATAGGGAAATTCGTCCTGCGAAGCAACTCAAAAACGGAAAACCCTTTCGTCTAGCGGGTTTTCCGTTTTGCGAGGCATTCGTCTTGCGGGGCACCACTGTATATTGAAATTGGATATAAGGCTCTCAAGAGGTGCAACCTCCTAATAGTGGTCTGGAGTCAAATGAGATGTTATGGAGGCCTCACATCAGACTGGTGTTTCAAGGTTACATCTGTGGGGGCTTAAAGGAGCCCAGGCACTACTCCTCAGAGGCTTGCCTCAGTTGAGGTGGAGAGACTCCTACTGTCACTGTGTGTGGTGTGGCACCTGAAGAGTGTCCTCCTGTACTGTTGAGGGTTCTGAAGAAGAGGAGCCAGACCTACTTCTTCATACAGTCAGATGAAGGCATCACTGGCACCAGAGGCTCCCCTCCAGGGTGGGGGGTTCATCTGGTGAAGCAGTGGTTTCTGACACTCTTTTGACTTCACGCGCCCAGCCTTCCCCATAATCTGTGTCACCAAACTCATTCTCTGCTAGTGGAGGGACAGACTGCTGGGCCATGGCATGCTTTTGCTTTTATTTTTTGTAGGACTAATAATCATGATTTTATTCATGATCTCAAAAGCAATCAGTCCCTTTAAAAGAATGCACTTGTTTCTTACTACCCATAAGTCAAAGCACCCCTCAGCTTTACTGAGGTGATTGTTATACAAGGAGGGTCACAGAACTGGTCCAGATGTCTGGTATGGCAGATATCCTACTGGCGATAATGGTTGAAGGCTTTGCCAATTGCCTTAGGGTATGCTGGCAGTTCTTAGTGATCAGCGGCACCTTCAGAGTGGGATAACTTTCCTGGATTTTTTGGTGTGTATTTTGAGTGGAGTATGTTAGTGAGTGAGACTGGGGGAAACCAGAGGTATATGGCATTGTAAAAATGTGTATGCCATTGTATAGATATGTACCAAATCAGGGTCATAGGCCAGGATTAAATACAGTATTTGCACCAGTAGTTCCTGGCATGCCTTAGAAGCATATTGAAATGGTTGGACGTACAAGTTTTATCCAGGCACAGTACTGGTGGTAGTGGTGAGTGCTGTGCAATATAAAGAAGTGACACAATCTAAAACAGAGGGAGAAGAGATGCCTGTTTGATATATGAGCAATAGGAACAGGATAAGGAGGGAAATGGGGTGGTGGAGGAGGGGCATTAGAACTGAATGTAAAAACTGAATGAAGAATTGAGCCTAGAGAAGGAGCTTTGAGAAAAAGCAGGAGCTGTCCTGCTTAACAGAGGAATAAGTTGCACAAGTATGAACATCATTTGTACTTGACAGGCAACCAAACGACTCCAGCAAAACGTGTCTGAGGCGACATCAACAGGGTGATTTGAAAGTCCTGACTGCAGTGTCAGACCTTTCAGATTATTGGATCCAAGTTCGTACAGGGGTTGGTAACGTAACTGATTTATTGACAAGATTATATATGGCTCTCTAGCATAACGCTGAAATACAGACCTGCAGAAAACTTTCTCTTGGGCTTAAAGGTAAAGGGACCCCTGACCATTAGGTCCAGTTGCAGATGACTCTGGGGTTGTGGCGCTCATCTTGCTTTACTGGCTGAGGGAGCCAGTGTACAGCTTCCAGGTCATGTGGCCAGCATGACTAAGCCGCTTCTGGCAAACCAGAGCAGCGCATGGAAACACCATTTACCTTCCTGCTGGAGCGGTACCTATTTATCTACTTGCACTTTGATGTACTTTCAAACTGCTAGGTTGGCAGGAGCAGGGACCGAGCAATAGGAGCTCACCCCATCGCGGGGATTCGAACCGCCAACCTTCTGATCGGCAAGCCCTAGGCTCTGTGGCTTAGACTAATGGTAAAGAGGGAGGTGGGCACTTGGAACCTAGGCTGACCTTAAGAAAATGGCACACAGTTAATTCACTGTCCCTAAATACAGCAAAGGTACATCTCAAATTAAATGTTGAATAAAGGGGACTCAAAATACCTTGCATCCTATGACAATTGGTATCCAAATCTGGTGTCCAGCCCTAAATGCATTCCTTTGATAGTCACTTTCCTCAGTCTCCAGTTTAAATACATTTATTCCTGCCTGCTTCTCATCACCCTGAAGCCCGACTCCCGCCTTTGGTTCAGAAGCTCTGATGTCTTAATGCTCCCAACGGTTGTGAGGTTCCTGCTTGACGTTCAAATGTGAATCTCAGCTTTCTGGCGTGAGTCTTTCTGTAACTGCAGTTAATAGCAAGGCAGCCCCCTTCCCCCCTTTATTATAAGCACAAACAGCTATTATTGCTTTTTGAGATAATCTAGCAGAATAGTGCACAATTGAAAAGACTGGCGATAAAAATCTAAATGCGAGGGCAGGATAAGAACATGCCCTTTCTTCCAGCTCTGTCTATTCTCTTGTATGTGTTGTCTAGCTCTGTAATTAGGATGGCATTCAGAAAATGTGAACAAAGTTGGTATTCTTTTCATAACACCCCCCCCCCCAAATCTTTGCATTGCTGCATGAAACTTTTGGCTTCGGCTTTTCCCTGTTCATTAACCATGCCAAAATTTTTAATCTAACACCACTGTTAAAGAGTGGCAGGCTTCCAGGGAAATATATCAGCCAGGCTTATTAATTTCATGCCAAGTGCTGGAGGCGTGAATGTAGAGAACGCTGTTTGACTTTGGATAATAGGAATCAGGCAGCTTAAAGGCAGGGGATAAAGATCAGGAGCCCTGGGTCTCTGGAGGAGGAGCAGGTGCAGGCTTCAAGCAAGGCCTGCAGGCCCAAAGGGGCAGCCTATGCTTAAAACAATCTGCAATGCCTTTTTTTTTTAATTTGGCATGTGCCTCTCACAGCTTAACAGACCGCTGCTCCACAAAGAGTGGTAAACAGAGAAAGGGAAATTAAAAAGGGAAGTCCCTTGACAGACAAAAACAAATTAGGGCAAACAAATTACACAGAGTCAACAAATAAACAAGGGAACATCTGTGAATATATTTCTTGGATTTTCGGATTCTGAAAGCAACCTGAGCAATGGTGTCGGGATGTATGAAAGAGAGGATGGAGAAAGCCATCCTCCCTCCACTTTGGAGAAGGTGGGAGAAATGGAACAAAGAAGAGGACCGGCGCATGCTGGCAAAAATATTATTCACAATTTTTATTTCCATTGGAAAAGCCATGGAATAGGAGTTAGGAGCAACAAACTTAAGCCCAATAGTCTTCACTGGGATGCGTTGCAACTAGTTTCTTCCTTGGGCTTTGCCAGATAGGTGCAAGGTATCATAGCAGGGCGTGCAAATATTCTGGTAGGCATAATTGTGCTGTCTCGTTAGGAATTATTCATCTCCACCTAATGTAGAAGAACTTCCTCTTCTCAAATTCCAGGCCTGCTATGATTTTTTTTAAATAAAATGTTCAGATTCAAGTTAGTACAGATGCAACAGGTAGATGCAAACAGTGGTAAATGTGTTCCAATTTTTTTGCAAATATATGATATACTTCATATGGCCATATTTCAATAGTACGTAGCTTAGCCCCAAATATGAAAACTCTGTTACTTGAGCTACCCCTTCCAAGGCGACCTTTATGTCTACCTCTTGAGATCAGCATGAAGTGATCTAAAATTTAACAAACAGTGAGTTTTGAGTTGAAAAGTTTATGGTCTGACTGTGTATTTCAGTCTATGACATAGATTGCATAAGCTGAGGTTGCTCAACCCATATTAAAAAAACAACACTTTGCTATGTAATTTTGCATCATGGCTTGGGTCCCATCTTGCAAATCTGTGCAAGAACACTGTTTCTTTCTTGAGCATTTGGCATAGACCCCATCTGTGGATTCAACTGGGTTGAGCATAGGTGACACAATGGAACCATGCTTCTTACTGAGTGACAATAACAAAATAAGAGCTGACCTACACATTAAAAAAAGTCATATGGAAACCTTTGGGGGGATGATACTGCTTCAGACTACAGGTGAGAGTACACATGTCAAATTCTCTCCTGCATTCAAAGGCTGCCTACCATGCCAGGGAGAAATCTAAATGATGCATTTTCTTCCTGTCAAGGTTGCTTAACATCTGGGGTGGATATCACTGGTCATTGGCTATGCTTGCTGAGGATGATGGGAGTTGTACTCCAGCGACATCTGGAGGGCCAAAAGTGCCCCACACCTGCTTTACACAAACAGATAATCTTTGACTGTGTGGTCACATGATCCACCACCTGCATTTAAAAAATCTTTAGTCCCAGAAAGGTTGCCTTTTCTGTTGATCAGTTTCAGACTGAAGCTCTGGGGTTTGTGAAGCTCCTTTCATCATCCCTGTTAAGATTTTCTCACAGCCTGACGGCTCCTCTCAGAAGTTGGTGATTGTGCTCAGGATCGAGGAGCCCAGGATGACACTTCCTTTGATATCATCAAGCTTTTTGGTCAAGCTAAATACCTGGCCCACACATGCAGTAGAAAGAGGGGGTAGAGATGACAACTTGAGAGGGAAGATGATGCATTTTAGAATGCTTTGCTTGATAAAAATAAATAAATCTCCTTGCAATTAAAACCCCCCAAACTGTGATCGGAGACAAAGTTCTAGCCCAGCATGCTCCCTGTTGTGGTAGATTTTCACTTTCCAGGTGTTTTTGTAAAAATGTATGTAGAAGGTCCAGCTTACTCTACCACCCCAGAACTTCTCCACATCATTCTGCTTCATGTGTATGCCAAGCCCAATTTTAGTCAGAGTCCAGCATCAGTGTCAGCATGTGCTTTCAATGTCAAGACTCAGCCATGGGAGGACCCTAGAGGTGTGGACACAGTGAACAGAGCTGGACTGACTAAAATTGGGCTTGGCATACACATGAAGCAGAATGATTTGGAGAAGTTCTGGGGTGGTAGAGTAGGTTGGACCTTCTACATATATTTTTACAAAAACACATTGAAAGTGAAAATCTACCACAACAGGG